CAAACAATGCTGGGTAGTTTATAAAGCTTGTAGGCAGGACTCTAGATTATTTGTCAGAGCATCTGGCAGATATATAGCCCAGATTATGGTATCAGACACATAAAACTGTTGAAACAAATAGGATATGGCCCTAAACAGGATCTATTTGGGAGGCCACCTGGGAACCCTCTGAGCTCCTAAGAACAATGGGTTCCACATATAAGCAAATATTATAAATGTAAGAACTGGCTTGCATCCAATGTAATCACTCTGTGAACGGAAGGAGCTTCTTCCATTCACAGAGCAATTACGTTGGTTGCAGCTCAATAGGTAGCATAATGTGTACGTGTTTGTTTGCTTCTTTGTATATGCCATGTAACTCTCCTTTCCCCCTCGACCATAGATTCGTTGGGGAGCCTGTGCGCTTGTCCTCACAGGAAACACAGTCATCTTTGCTACCATCCTAGGGTTTTTCTTGGTATTTGGCAGCAACGACGACTTCAGCTGGCAACAGTGGTGAAAAGAGCTGGAAAGAGAACTATCGGCATCTTGTGTCATTCAGTGGCCATCCATCCAACAGCAAGAACGGGCAATAAAGCGAATGTACTCTTTCCACAGAGGGACTCTAGGTGTAGGATACTCTGTAGTCACTTTTCCTCTCCTTTCACGTTCAACTTCTAACGTCTTGCTTGATTTAAATGTTATTAATTGTTGATGCTGTTTTAGTTTAATGCTTTACTTTAATGTGGGGATCAGAATGCTTAAATGTGATGTTTAAATCTGTGTTTTTCTTTTTTTCTGTTTTTTTGAAGAACATAACTGCGTTTAAATATGAAATCGATCTTTTGACCATGAATTATTTTTAAGCTACAATGTACAATCGTGTAACCAAACTGGCAGCAAACGGAGGTCACAGTCCAGTCATATGGAAGTGTTTTTGAAGCCCTATCCTGCACAGGTATTTTTTGAAGTAAGTCCCACTGAGTTCAATAGGGCTTACTCCCGAGCAAGTGTGCATAGGATTGTTCACATGTCCTATTGAACTCAGTAGGAGTGAAGCATGTGCTCAACACTCAACCCCTTTTGAAATAAATAGAAAGTGCTTAGATATAGCTGGCATGTGCTGTTTATTAGCAAATGTGGACATGGTTATGGGATTTTGGAAGTGAAGTGTAAAGAGCTGAAGGGAGAAGCACTTAGCAGCTGATTAATGGGTTGCTTGTTTCCATAGACAGCTGAAAATGTGATAATGCCAATAGTATGGGGATAGCTTTTAATAAGGGGAATTTTTTTATTATTTTGGAAGTTTATGCTCATTGTACAAATATTTTGCAAGTTTTTATTGTTGACACTCCAAATGAGGAGGGGGAAACTTAATTTCTCAATGGGAAGTGGAAGACGTCTGACATTTAAAATCCACTTTTAAAAAAATCCCATTTTGAAATCTTTCTGTTTATATGTATTATACACTTTGAAAAACTATGAAGTCAACTCTTTATATGTTTTACCAAAGGGGAGGTAAAAGGAACACCCATGTAACTACTGATTATGGGCACAACTCAGCCAGAAGATCTCCTGCACAGGCCACATAGAAATGAATGGTAGTGCTCTTGTCCAGCTCCCTTTCATTGTCACCGTGACAGGTACAGGAGAACTACTCAGTGGATTGCACCCACTATGTTTGCAAAGTATAAAAGGAGAATTTCTGCTTCCCTTTTTAATTTATTTTATACATAGTATAAAAAGGCTTTTCAAATGTAGATTGAAACTTTTCACTGTAGGTAATAACTTACCTAACAGATCAATTATTGTATTGATATACAGTCAAAGCTTGGCTACCTTGCAAATCTTTGACTATGAAGGTTTTATAGTGGTCCTGTCAATGTTCCGGTTTATGCATTAATAAATGTTAATCATAATTGTAGTTCTGTTAGAGTATATTACACGTACCATACAATATTTATATTTGTTGCATACCTCTTAATTGTCTTTTCCATTAACCATAAATAACCATATTTTGTAGACCCAATTCTTTTGGAGTGGTGCTTTGCTGGTGACTCGTTAGTAAGATACTCAGATGTCTCTGTCTGTGCTCTCACACTGTGCAGTCATGCAAACTAGCCAAGTCTAGCCAAGTGATATAGTCACCTGAACACATTCCGCTCTTAATATAGCTTTCTGCTGGCACAACTCAGTGGAGCTTTCTTCTTTCCTTCCCTGACTGGTTCATAGACATGCATGCTCCACAGTGAACCCCTGCGTACGCATCTAGGCATCACTCACCTCCCCAGCATCTTGGGAGGGTGAGGGGCATCTGGATAGAGATAAAGGCAGTGAGTATGTATTGGTCTCCCACTGCAAGTAAGAGAGTTGAATGGAAGCTCTTTGCTGCATCCTTCTACTGAGAGAACTCTGTCCATGGTAGGGAAGCTGCATCATGTCCTCCATGTGCTGGCATCATAAAACAAAGGAGTTGATGAACAGATTGTAGTTATCAGGGCATCAGTCTACAGAAGCATAGGCGATGAATGGGTTCTGTTTCTTAAAAATAATGTGATACCGACTTAAAATTTAAAACTAAGCCTGAGGGTGATCTTGACGGTTACATCCCTATTGTAACTTCAAAAACATTTTTGTCCTGAGATTCAAGAGGAGAAGAGTACAAAGTGATTGTGAAGTACTTGTACCCAGTTATTTGAATCCTGGTCCAAGTTTTAAATGTCTGAACGTTTTTCCAGGTCTTTCAAGGATGTTGAAGCACGACTTCTGCATGACACAGATATTTATGCTCTCAAATCCCTGAAATTCCTTTGGAAATTCTTTACATTGACAGTGGAACAGTTGTAGCTGTCAAATAGATGACTCATTTAGTGATCCTTCCAATCATGTATTATAGCAAATGAGTTCTCTTCTCCCCTGTTGTACTGTTACTTTTCTTTGTGAAATTACTGGCTACTCTTCAGTTGGGCGCCAACTCTGTTATATTTAATAGTAGTGTATTTTCTGTGTATTAATTGTGTGGACAGCATTGTGGTGGTGATCCTGCTTATTTTTAGACATAGTGCTGTCTCCTATTATCAGGTTAGACATTTGAGAGGTATGTCTTTCTTCATGTAATATGCACTGAGCAGCATTGCCATCCTTCTACAAAGAGAAATTTTGATGAGAAAACAATAAAAAATTTAAATATCAGAATGTTTTGGCTTTTTAATGGGCATCTTCTCTTAATAACAGGATAGAAAACCAGCTTCACTATAATGTGTGAAGTAGTTTTTCATGCTTGGAGAGCAGCAAGCCAGTTATCTAGTCCTGATATATAGACGTTAGTTGGTCTGATGAAATTGGCTCAGACAGTCAAATAGATCTATGGCTTGGCTCTCTTTAAGACTTGTGCCATCAGCTGAGCATATAGACAGAGCTGTGTGTACTCCCCATCTAAAAAAATAAAAATTCACTCCAAATTCTGTCTCCTCCACAAATTCACAAGTTGCAGGAACCCAGTTTAGCAAAAGCAAAAGTGATATTGATGTAAATGTGTACAAAATAGTCCAATGAACTACAGATAATACAAAAAGCTAAAAATAATACAATCCAAGGTCACTGAGTGTATACAAGCGAGTGCCACTATGTAAACCAAAAATAGAGGAACAAGATTTTCCATTCATAGAAAAGGGGTAAAAATGGTTTACATCAATGGCACTTTTATTTTCGTTCCTGTGACTTGGTATCTTTGTTACCTGCCATTGGGGACCCCTCCTGTGTTTTTCATCACAAATTCACAAGACGGTATTACTTACCTGCAGATTGTTGGGAGGCTGTGGAGCATTACAGGAAAAACTAGATTGGAGGGCAGCAATGCCGCAGGCGAAAGGATCTTGGCCTTTCTTGCTTATTGCTATATAACAACGAAAGAAGCATGTGGGCCAAGGGAAAAATGCAGCAGTTTAGGGCCAAGATTAGCCCAGCTTTGAAGTTTCAGTTTGAGAGAGGAAAAGGGGATGAGGCTGGAGTTTTCTTGACCCTTTGCAGTGTTTTTCAAACTTTACAGACCCTCCATGTGTCCCAGGGACAGTCCCGGATTTACAAAGGCCACCCCGGTCTCTGATTTGATTTCCTTAGGACGCCCTTATTTTAATCAGAGGGTATGGAGTTGTAAGCAGCCCTGTATAGGGCTTTAAATAAAAGAGTAATGTTTTATTATGTTTTTATATATGTCGAACCTGCCCAGAATGGCTGTGGCATCCCAGTCAGATGGGCAGGGTATAATAAAATTACTGATAATGGAATAGGATGTCCCTGTTTTCATCGGAGAAATGTTGGAGGGTATGAACTTAGGTCCCCAGCTGCTGTTGGACAACAAGTCCCATCAACCTTAGCTAGCAGGACCAGTGGTCAGGGTTGTAGTTCAACAACTGCTGGAAACCGAAGTTTGAGCAACACTGTGGGTCCCCAGATATTGTTGGACTACAACTCCCATTATCCCTGAGCTAGCCTTGCTAGCTAAGGGTGATGGGAGTTGTAGTTCAACAACATCTGGGGACCCACAGGTTGAGAAAGGCATTTTGAGGTAAAGGAATTCTGCCTATGCCCAGAAGCTCCCAGATTCAGGTGACAGGAAACGAGTAGGGAATAAGTGGGCAGAGGGTTGGACTAGAATCAGTGTTTCCCAACCTTGGGCCTCCAGCTGTTTTTGGACTACAACTCCCATCATCCCTAGCTAGCAAGACCAGTGGTCAGGGATGATGGGAATTGTAGTTCAAAAACAGCTGGAGGCCCAAGGTTGGGAAACACTGGACTAGATGACCCTCGGGGAACCTGCCAACTCTATGATTCTGAGCCAAGCCAGTCTCAACAACTCGCGCATGCGCCTATGCTGCACGCGTGCTTGGGAGGCCCGAGAGCGTGGGCCCTGGAGACGCACGCGCATTGGGCTCGCCTTTTTCCTAGAGAGGCGCGCTTTTTCCTTTTTGTACACGACGAAGGCTTATAGTGCTACGTGGATGCACTTCCGGGTCGAAAGGCCATTGTCGGCGCCCCGCTTTCCCTGGCCTATCCTTGCCCCCCTCCCCCCCGCCCTCCGCTGCTTCTCTCCCTCTGCCAAGATGGCGGCGGGTAGCGGAAGTGGTGCCGGCGCGGCCGGGGCTGCCTCGGTGGCCTCGCTGTGGAGCGAAGTGAACCGCTGCGGCCAGAACGGCGACTTCGGGCGCGCCCTCAAGTCGGTCAATAAAAGTGAGTGGAGGGCGGCGGAAGTTGCACAGGGCGAGGGACGGGGCTTTGCGCCTGGCGTCGCCTCCTCTATTCTCTCTCTCCGGGGTGGGGGGCAGCCTGCAACTTTTCCTTAGTTAACCCCCCTTGCCTTTGCGCGGGAGGGAGCTTCGAAACACGTCCCCAAGCGCTTCCTGTGCATTAGCTTCGCTGGAACCTTCACAACAACCCTGCAGGGCGGGAAGAAGGGCTGGCCTCAGATTTGCTCGTGGCTGAGGGGTGGCTTATTCGCTTAGCCACCCCAGTAACACTTAAATGTGACCCGGCGGCAGGCGGTGCTCCTGTGCCCCTTTGTGCCGATCCTGCGTTAAGAAGGTCTCTCTTCTTCATGAGTGACAAGGCTTGGCTCACTCTTTTTCGTGGGTGGCGCCAGGCAAGCCCCTAGTCCTTCAACTTTAGCGCTGTTGCCCCGCTTCAGTATGGGAATGATGTTGTGATGATAATAATAATAATTTTATTATTTATACTGCGTCCCCAGCCACTCTGGGCAGCTTCCATCACATCTTAAAAACATAAGGAAATGTCAAACATTAAAAATGGTTAACGACAATATCGGCCTGGTTTCTAGGGTGCTTGTAAAGACCGCAGTGAGGTAATGCAGGCGGAGTGTTTTGAATATTTAAAAGTGTGCTGTAACTTGAGAATTAGTAACAGTGCAGTTCAATTCTCCCAGGTAAGTGAGGTTAGGATTGCAGCCACTTATTCCTCAAAGTGCTCTGTGGCTTTAACAGTTGTGTGACAGGCAGAAATACACGATGTGGTCATTCATGTCACTGTACTTGCATGCTTGGGAAAGTCTTGCTTGCTGAATTGTTACTTGGTTGTACAGGGGATGTGCTAGGGAAAAACCTGCCACGTATGTAAAGAGGAAGTGGGTTGTGCAGTTATGCATCTGTAAAAGAAGTGAATTGCTATATTGAATTGAGTTAGGATGCTAATCTATGAAACTGTCATATCACTTTGAAATAAGTCCTGCTATGTTCAGTGGGACTTAATGCCTAGAATGTGTGTTTAGGCTTGCAGCAAAGTATTCCCTCCTGCAGCTACACATTGCCCTCTCACTGTTGATCTTCCCTAGCAATCTGTCTTTCTACCATTGTAGAGTTGGAAAGGAGCCCAAGGGTAATCTATTCCAACTGCAGGGCAGGGATCTCAGCTAAAGCATCCATGACAGATGGTCATCCACGCTCTGCTTAAAAACCTCCCAAGGAAGGAGGAAGGAAGAAAGAATATAATAAGTTTGCCCACCAAACTTCTCACTTAAGGAGCCTTTAATAAGCTTCCAACTGGTATAATTTGGTTCCCTGGACCACAGTTGGAAAAGTGCTGTTGTTTTTCAAGATACAAATAACAGTGCCTGGGTTCTCATTGCTTAATTCATTGCTTTTGCTTTTCCTAGTACTGCAGATCAGCAAGGATGATGCAACTGCTCTTCACTGCAAAGTGGTATGCCTTATCCAAAACGGAAGTTTTAAGGAAGCTCTCAGTGTGATTAACACCCATACCAAAGTATTAACCAGGTGAGTGTTGAATATTAGCTGCTTATCAAACAACATGGCTTTTAGACGGTGCAAGAGTTCTTTCATTTTTTCAAAATACAGTTTCAAGAAAGTCTTCTTTCTTCTTAGTCAATTAATTCTCAAAGTGTAGGCTAAAAAAGTTTACATTTTGAGTGTGGGGTGGTAAAATTCCCGGATGTTACAGGAGTTATCCAGTTGGGTTTCTATGTGCATTACTGTAATGAGCATTCTTCCTAATTGGAAGGCCGGTAATTCCCCAACAAATTCACGTTGCAGCCTCTACTAATGGTGGGTTACACTGGTGAGTCTCTGTATTAGAGTAACCATATCACACCCATACAGAGAGACAACACAATTACCGTATTTTTCCCTCTATAACACGCAGATTTTTTCTCCTAAAAAGGAAGGGGAAATGTCTGTGCGTGTTATAGAGCGAATGTGTGGTCCCTGGAGCCAAAAAATCAAGCAAAAGTCAAATCTCGAGTCACAGAGAAGGGAAACCTGAAAAGAGGAAGTGGTTGCTTTCCTGCGTTCTGCCTCAGGGTCTTACTGCCCACCCTTCTCTGTTTCGTTGCTGTGATTGCTGAAACGGAACAAAGAGCAGGGAAAGCCCCTCCCCTCCAGGCAAGCAGAGTGTCGTTCTTTCTAATTCCTCTCTGTGCTCCGTTGCTGCTGGGAGAGAGGGAGAGAGAGTGGGGGAGGGAGAGGGAGAGTGGGGGAGGGTGAGGGAGAGAGGGGGGGAGGGAGAGAGGGGGGAGGAGGGAGGGAGGGAGAGAGAGAGAGAGAGAGAGAGATAGATGGCTGGCTTGGGGGGGAACTTTTGCCTTTCTTTCTTTCCTCCCACCCTTAGCCAGCTGCTTCTCTGCACACCCCTCTCATGTCCCTTCTTTGTTTTTCCTTCGCTCCCCACTTAAAATGTGGTTACAAAGCATAGATCAACATGGATCCTCAGGATCTTTGCATTGGGTCACCCCAAATTCACCATCAGATCACATAGCATGTCCATGGCTACAGCCTGCCCCCCCAAAATCACGCACCCATTGTTGCCTGGGGCTGCAATGGTGCAAAACGTGGTTAAAAAGCATGGATCCACATGGATCCTCAGGATTTTTGCATTGGGTCACCCCAAATTCACCATCAGATCACATAGCATGTCCATGGCTACAGCCTGCACCAAAAAAATCACGCACCCACTGTTGCCTGGGGCTGCAATGGTGCAAAAATGTGGTTACAAAGCATGGATCCACAGGGATTCTCAGGATCTTTGCATTGGGTCACCCCAAATTCACCATCAGATCACATAGCATGTCCATGGCTACAGCCTACACCCAAAAAATCACGCACCCACTGTTGCCTGGGGCTGCAATGGTGCAAAAACGTGGTTACAAAGCATGGATCCACAGGAATTCTCAGGATTTTTGCATTGGGTCACCCCAAATTCACCATCAGATCACACGTCTGTGGCCACAGCATGAAGCACAAAAATGATACATCCACTGTTTCATTCAGAATGTTTTTTCCCTTGTTTTCCTCCTCTAAAAACGATGTGCGTGTTATGGTCAGGTGCGTGTTATAGAGCGAAAAATACGGTAGCTGCCGCCAGTGAAAGATAATGGGGAGGAGCCAAGACCATGCAGAGGTGCAACAGGCTGCCTCCAGTGTGAATGTGTGCTTTTAGGTGCACTAGCATCTTATTGTTGAATGAGTTTCTTGGTACAGTGGTGCCCCGCAAGACGAATGCCTCGCAAGACAAAAAACTCGCTAGACGAAAGGGTTTTCCGGTTTTTGAGTTGTTCCGCAAGACGAAATTCCCCATGGGCTTGCTTCGCAAGAAGAAACGTCTTGCAAGTTCGTTTCCTTTTTCTTAAAGCCGCTGAGCCGTTAATAGCCGCTAAGCCACTAATAGCCACTAAGCTGCTAATAGCCGTGCTTCGCAAGACGAAAAACCGCAAGACAAAGAGACTCGCGGAACGGATTAATTTCGTCTTGCGAGGCACCACTGTACCCTAGAAGTTCTTTTGCAGCACACTAATATATCCCAGCATTCAATTGCATAATTGCTGACCTAAATCCTGTGTGTCTGTATGTATCAAAAAAGGTTTCCTAGTTGCATTGTGGGAAAAGAAGCTACAAGACAAGTCATAGAATTGTAGAGTTGGACGGGAACCCGAGGGCCCTCTGGTCCAACTCCTGCAATGCAAGAATGTTAATATAGGGTTAATAAAAAAGCAGTTTATGGGATATCAAGAAAAATATGAATCCAGTAAGGATTGTATCAGTCAGTAAGCCAGCACTTTCAAAAGCAATGTGGCGTTCAAAAGGAATGTGTGTTCAATGCACAAAATATAGACACACTTCTTTGTCTTGTTAAGCAAATAAAAATTATTATTGTGAAGCCATTCTATCTTTGCTTTTTCTGTGTTGCAATATATCTGTTTTGTTAGAATATTGTTGCCATATTAGTCTGAGACAATGAGAAATTCATGAATATTAGCTCCTTTCTTGAAGCTTATCATATTATTTTACATAATTACAAATGTGACACATGTCCAAAAATATGTCTTTATGATTTCTAAAGTATTGGTTCCCTTTTCTTGTGTTGTTTGGTTCAATATAATGTCAGTGTATATAGGATTCACTCTTCAGTAATGAGTCTTAGCAAACACAACTGCTTTTTGAAGAGTTGATAATGAGAAATCACATCCCACTTCCGGCTTATATGTTACAGTGATGTGATAGCCTTTGAGAAGGCTTACTGTGAATACAGGCTGAACAGGATTGAAAATGCTCTGAAGACCATTCAAGGAGCCAGTCAGCAGACAGACAAGCTAAAGGAGCTGTATGGACAAGTGGTAACTACTGCTTTACAAACTCTTACTGCTTTTAATAACTGGATATAAGGCTTCAGGTGCTGTGGTGGATTGAGTTTTCTCAATCTAAATGTGTGCTCTTTTACAATCCCCTAAATGGGTCAGCCACAGTATAGTCCTGCAGCAATGGATGCTGACAGTCTACCAAGACTGTGTTGAATAATGAAGACTGATTATAATGGTTCTTGTTAATTAAGCAAACCTGTCCTTACTTTTTGCCATCTTTCTTGTCCTCATGGATGGTGCTATGAAATGAGAACATTTTCAAAATTGAAAATGCAGCTTAGCCGCATATTTTTCATTGTGAACAACATTATGAGACCAGAATTTAATATGACACTTCACTGGTATTTCACTTTACCTAAAGATCACTGATCTTTAAAATCAGCAGGTTTTAATGCTGGAAATGTCAATATAAGGAAGCGATAATCTTTTTTCATTTATGGGGGTATTCGGCATATCTATAAACCTATTGGACTCATCTAATAATAATAATAGTAATAATAGTTAATTAATAATAAAGCCAATAATAAAATTTTGATATTCTACTTGCTTTTCAATATCTTCCTGGTTGAGGATTAAGGGGTGATCAAATGCTTTAGAGAAACATCTTGTAGAAACTAGAATTTCCTGGGCTTAGCATGGAAACTTATTCCAGCAATTGTGAAGTGCCTCTCAGTGTTCCGGGAATTACCAAGAGGGATATTTTATGATGGACAGAATGTATTGGAGGAACAGTGTGTTTCCCATGATAATTCTGGGTCTATAGGCACATGCTATGTTGTTGCTCTTCTGCCTAGAACTTTTGGCATTTATTTTCTCAACAACCAGAGTTGACAGTTTAGAATTGATGACCTTGGTAACTATTATACATTCACTCTTTCTTCTTGAAGAAAGTTGTTGCTTAGTGACATGGATGGGGCTTGGTCTTTGTTCAGTGTTTCTTCCATAACACTGTGCATGGTTATTCTTTTTCAATAAAGTTTTTTTCAAAAAAGAAGAAGAACTGGGGTTAGATTTCATTGTGGTGTAAAGTGGGGTATGCGTGTGCAGAACAAGGCCCACTCACACAATGGGATTTCCCCTGTGTGCCCCCTAAACGTGTTCTGGGGGTTCCCCAACACTCCAGTGAAGATTTGGGGGATGCAAGGAAGAAGAGGAGCAAATCCCATTTTGCGACCTGACTACATTCTGTGCATGCAGCAACTTAATTGAATCCCGTCCAATACCTGCCTGGATTATAGGTATAGTATAAACATGACTGAGATATTATGGTTGCTATTTTATTTTGCAGACCTCATCTTGACTGTTTTCTGGTCTGTTGAGCTGCTAATCCAGATTTTTCCTTCCAGTTGTACAGATTAGAACGTTATGACGACTGTTTAGCTGTGTACCGGGACCTCATACGCAACTCACAAGATGATTATGAAGAGGAACGGAAAACAAACCTCTCTGCAGTTATTGCTGCACAGAGCACATGGGAGAAAGTCGTGCCAGTAAGTATGTTTGTGGCAGTCTGTATGTGCACGTGCGAGAGAGAGAGAGACTTCCTCCTTCATCTATTCTTGCTGTAAGTGAACTGCAGGTGAACTGCATAAACGCCATAAAATACAGGGAAGTGTCTTATTGGAACATTGACGTATGAAGCTGATATCTCTGTTATTCCCAAGTCTGGTAAAGACCAAACTATTCCAAATTATAGGCCTATCACCTTAATTATTGTAGTCAGCAAGATAATACAGTGGTGCCCCGCAAGACAAATGCCTCGCAAGACGGAAAACCCGCTAGACGAAAGGGTTTTCCGTTTTGGAGATGCTTCGCAAAATGAATTTCCTATGGGCTTGCTTCGCAAGACGAAAATGTCTTGCGAGTTCCTGCAGGGGTTTTTTTCCTCCCCCCCCCCCTTTTTCCCAAGGCGCTAAGCCGCTTAACAGCTGATCCGCTAAGCCGCTTAACAGCTGATCCGCTTAGCCGCTTAACAGCTGATCCGCTAAGCCGCTTATCAGCTGATCCGCTAAGCCGCTTATCAGCTGATCCGCTAAGCCGCTAATGGGCTTGCTTCGCAAGACGAAAAAACCGCAAGACGAAGAGACTCGCGGAACGGATTCTTTTCATCTTGCGAGGCACCACTGTAATAGGAGTCATTCCTAACCAGACTGTGATGGCTATAATAGCACATTAATATTATTTGCCAAAGAGGGGGAGCAGATAATTTAAGGTTGGTAGGAAAAGGGGATGCTTCAAACAGTAAAAGAGCTGATGTGGCTGCAGTTATTTCTCTAGATGCTGAAAAGGCTTTTGTCAGACTACATTGACAGTTTATTTCTGTTACTTTGGGGGGGGGATTTCCTCAGGAAGTTATGGATTGGATTAGGATCTTATGCCTTTTCTCCCAATCACAAGTGAGGACAATTGGAATTTGGCACTTGAGGACATTCGTACACTTTTAAATTCCTGTAACGTTGGGGACTGATAGACGACAAAAGTGGATTCTGCAGTATTTTAGAAGACATCTGACTTTTAGAAGACATTCCCTGTTTAGGGAAGCTTTTAATGTTTAATAGACTATTGTATTTTAATATTCTGTTGGAAGCCGGCCATAGTGGCTGGGGAAACCCAGCCAGATGGGCAGGGTATAAATAATAAATTATTATTTCAAGGCTGGAAGGATAAACACCCAGCTGCTGCTCACTTGACTCCAGGCTGGTTGTACCACTGCTGCTTCCTGGGAGGTAGAGGGCAAGGTGCAAGGTCAGCACAGTGCAAATACACCAGCAGGAGTACCAGATTAGCTCTGGCAGTGCATTTGCACTGTATTGACTTCACTGCTGCTTCCGCCTCTCGCATTCCCTAGCAAGCAGTAACACGACTGATCAGAGGTCAGATGCATGCCACAGCCCCATCGTGCCATCAGAGACTGGCCCTGCTACACACACACACACACACACACACACACCATGAGAAGATACAGCAGGTGGATGGCCTCATCTGTGGTAGCTTTAAGACCATGGAGTGTCCCACCCAAGGAAGCTTTCTTGTATCCAGGGTTGCATATATTTAAGTGGGCAGTTAAAAAAAACAACACTTGCATTTTCCTACAATCTTCCTTAAATACAGTTTTTTAAATTCCGATTGCCTTTTTATATTGATATACCGGTTGAGTGTAAATGGTTACTTTCGCGTTTTTAATGTGGTTATTGTTTGTTGCTGTAAATGTATGCACAATCCTTTGTTTAGTAATTTACTTGACATCTGTTTATATGCAAAATAATCTTTATGCCACTACAACATCTTGCCGCCGATGTGTGCTAAGGAATTAAAGAAACGCTTGATGAAAGGAGCCTGGGCTTCTAGAATCGTGCGATGATTTGCTTGCATATTGTTCTTTTGTGCCTCGTATATAATTAGAAAGAAGGGTGTGTTACGATAATGAAGCAATGCTGCTTGCAAAGTCCTAGCTTGGAATGTAAACATGATGGGAATGTTGGGACTGCTGTGGGAACAGAGGGGCAGTCATTTCTCAGTGCGCAGCACCGGAATTACCTCAGAGTGTAATATGAGCTGTACAGGAAGTACAGGAGGAGTTTGTGAGTCGACTGCTGGAATTTGATGAGCGCAGTCATGTTTTCTGTAACGCTGCAAAGACAGAAATAAAAGCATGTAAATACGTTTCTGTCTATCTCTTTCCCCTGCCTGGGGAGGCAGGAAAGAGCGGTGTGTTCTTCTCACGTTTGATAAGAATCGCCGATCGAGACCTTGTCTGCGTCTGCTGGGGAATGCAGCCAGGGAGGTCAACAGGGAACTCAAGCCGGGTGCCTGGGACTGCTGCCAGCTTCTCATGAGAGGGCGGCTTGAATCCCAACAGGGTGTTCATACAGCTTCCTGTTAGTATGTATCACCTGCTTATGGCTTTTGAATTTACTGCATGTTAATTTAAGAACCCTTCATGCTTTGGAAGAGTTGTTTTGATCTGCGTCTAGCCATCTGACCCAAAGCGTTCATGCAAACTGGTTCACACTGTAATTCGGAACGAGGTATCCCTTCATTTACTTTGTTATTTTTGCTCTGTCCAGGAAGATCTTGGCCTTCAAGAAGCCACATATGAGCTGAGTTACAATGCTGCTTGTTCTTTGGTTGGGCAGGCCAGGCTGAACGAGGCAATGAAAAGCCTACAAAGAGCAGAAGGTAATGAATGATAAGGTTAATCTGTCCTTTCCTTGTAACCCGTTGTCCTGCTTTTGTGGAAAAACGTCACAAGATCTAAATCCTTTCATAAATGAAATTGAGAAAAATAGACATGGGGATTATTGTGTCCCTAAATTTATTCTCTGCATCTGCCAATGTATTTCGAGAATGCCTTTACAGCCACCAGTAACCTGTCGTTCCTATAGACTGCACAGGATTTCCTCCCTGCACTAATTTGCATTCATTTTGGTAAGCAAAATCAAGTTTTGAATAGCTAGATCCCAATCCCCCCCCCCCCCCCGCCGCCCCGGCAGCAACTTGGAAAAACAAGCAAAGACCAAGCAAAATCGAACTGAAGGGAGATGTGGGGAGAACTCAAGATGGTTAAATTGATAGTACTACTAAGAAATCCATAATTGTATCATGTATCGACACGCAGTTGGAAACTTAGGATCTAGTATATTAAGGGCAGATTAGGAATTAAGAATGATTATAGGATGCTGTCAAATACAGTCATACCTCGTGTTACGTTTGCTTCACGTTGCGGCTTTCCAGGTTACGAACACGGCAAACCCGGAAGTGTTTACTTCCGGGCTCGCTGCATGCACAGAAGTGATCTGTGCGGTTTGCAGAAGTGCTCTTTCGCAATAGCGGCACTCTACTTAGGGACTTTTCAGGGTGCGAACGGCACCCCGAAACGGATCACGTTCGTAAATAGAGATACCACTGTATAGAGAAATATCAGCATCTTTGCACTTCTGTGATGCAAATGAAGTTTCTATAGGCAGGTGTTAATCAGTGGTGGAACCTTGATTGGTGGCTCATATCGATGGCAAAATGTGTGCTACCTCCACTGTCAGAGGCAATACGACTCTGAATGCCAGTTTTTGGGCAGCATGAGTGGAAAGAGTGCTGCTGCACTCCTGCCTATAGGCTTCCAGTATGCATCTGGTTCACCACTGTGAGAACAAGGGGCTGGAATGGATGGGCCTTCAGTCTGATCCAGCAGAGCTGCTCTTATGTCCAAAATTAATTTGTCACACTTTCCTTGTAGATCTGTGTCGCCAGTCTCTCTCAGAAGATTCGGTGAGTCACTATTGTTACACCGAGAATACATTTTCCGCTCAGCGGGTTTTAATATTCTCAGTATGTGTGCCTGTAAGCTAATTGCATAAATCTGCTTGGTTATGTGCTATCTGCCTGCTTTCCTTCATCACACTGGATTTAAAGTGTTCTCCATCAGCACTTTTCTTTTTACTTCTGTGCCTCTTTCACATGAATGGCTTCACTGAGAAGTGTTAACAGTGTAGAATTAAACTTTGTGAATTCTGTAGCAAGGGCCATTGCTGATATTAACAATTTAAATATCCAGAGCTTCCATTATCCGCTGAAGCCATTTAAAAAAGTATTCTTAGTGAACACAATAATGGCAAAGTAAGGCAGTTTTATGTCGTGTTGATTTCAATGGATGAGATTTGCATGCTTGCGTGATTCACCCAATGAGAGAAATGGTACCAGGAGTGCAATCCAATGCATATTTTCTCTGTTCAATGGGGCTTGCTCTCTAGCTGTGTTACTAGTAAGTTTGCTAGTTACCAATAGATATATTTGCAGGTTTGGGTGAGTCAGCTTGCATAAACTGGATTTACCCTTTCTCTCCCCTTCCCCTCCCTGGCAACCCCATGAATACCTCCCCCCAAAATCTGCTCTGGGGGGTTGGGGTCCACTGACTTGACATTGGATTTTATCCATTGATCTGTGGATACTATATAACTGGTGCAAGGTTTCAAGGTTGTGTGTAAACTTTTTTTTACTGTTTCCTTTTAGGATGTTACTGAAGAAGACATTGAGGCTGAACTGGCTATTATTCACGGTCAGATGGCTTATATCTTGCAGCTGCAAGGTCACACAGAGGAAGCCTTGCAACTGTACAATCAGATAATCAAACTGAAGTAAGTGACTTCTGTAAAATGGTGGCATTGGTGGTCTTGGCATCTTTTTTAAAAAAGAAGACATATTTACAGATGCACATATGCCCTGTTCTCCGCAGGCCAACAGATGTCGGATTGCTTGCTGTCATCGCCAACAACATCATTACCATTAACAAGGTATGGCATTATCCTAGTAATTCCTCAAGCATGTTTTGCAGAAGAAATCACACAAAAGGAGCGTGATGTGTTTTAATTGCAGCAAGCAACCTGGGAAACACCATGTTCCTATTGATTGAGTGATGCATCTTGGGATGCTCTCTTTCACAGGACCAAAACGTCTTTGACTCAAAGAAAAAGGTGAAACTGACCAACGCTGAGGGTGTTGAGCATAAACTCTCGAAGAAACAGCTCCAAGCAATAGAATTCAATAAAGCTCTGCTGGCCATGTACACCAACCAGGTAATGTTATGCCACTTCAATTGCTTTGATGCATGGCCTGTTACCTAGGAGGGCAGGGAGCAGCTCGGTTTGTTGGCTTACACTTCTAAATCCTGCCTTCTCTCTGTAGAATCAGCATTCCTAACCAGCCACTCTTTTTCTCTTGTTCCTTAGGCAGATCAGTGTCGCAAACTGGCATCAAGTTTACAGTCACAGAGTCCCGAACATCTCCTCCCTGTGCTAATCCAGGCAGCACAGTTGTGTCGAGAGAAACAGCATACCAAGGCAATAGAGCTGCTACAGGTAGGCTGTGGTTTGCTGCTTGAGGAAATATGCAGGAGATGACAAAGCTCTGAATCATTGTTCATCTAGATGAGGTTGAGGAGGAAGGGAATTCATACTGGGCACTGGGAGTCATAGCTGGATTCGACAGCATTATTTTTGCACCAGCCCAAGCATTCAGTGAAACTATGGATTAGCTTGTTGAGCTAAGCCTTTTCCCAAGAAGTTAGGTATGGGAATACACTAGTGAGATCTGCTTGTCTGAGATCTGCAAGCAGTGAGAGATTTAGAGAGACAAGAGAACTGCCTTAAGTGTGGCTTGGTATAGGTGCAGTACATAAATGTGCCTGGCTGAAAACTATAGTTCTAAGGTGTACTGCAAATCATGGTTTAGACTTAAGCATATTTTAGGTAATGGCAAACTATCGAAGGCTTTTCACCAAAGCCAGACTAAATGTCTTTCCTTCTGCAGTGTTGGATGGTAGGTTGAGAGGAGTTCCCTACCAGGGCAGACTTTGCTCGTGTGCTCAAGACATCGATTCCATAAAACATATTTTGTTGCATTGTGCAAAATATGAGCAAGCCAGGGCTGAACTGATACTACCCTTGCTGGTACCTTCCCCTGGAAAATCAGAGGCTCACTATGTCAGGTTCCTACTGGAAGACCGGACAAATGCTAGAACATGAGCAGTGGCAAAGTTTTTATCGGTGGTTGCAAGAACAAATGATCCCTATATTCTAAAAAAATGCTTGGCTAACCTGGAGGTAGGCTGTATGAATTGTGTATTGCTTTGTAATGATTTGTTGGGCCTCTGGACCGTAATAATGATTGATGATGATTTAGGTAATGGCATAGCAAATGGAGACCCTTTATTAACGTATTGCTGTGTATCCCTGTCCCCTAATAGAAGAGCTTCTGTTCAAGGGACTCGGAGTTTGTTACAGGAGAGTCAAGAGACATAAGACTCCACAGTGCAATTACTATTCATTGCAAGGTGCCTGTTCTGGAAATTCTGAAGCTGATTCTGTCTGAAAGCCTCTTGATCTGTGTTTCCATTTCTGACCTGTAGGAGTTTGCCGATCAGCACCCCGAGAAAGCAGCAGAGATCAAGCTGACGATGGCACAGTTGAAAGTTGCTCAAGGTACTGTAGCCTCGCTTCCTTTGGAAAGAAGCTTCCTGAGCATTCAGCTACAGTGTCATACTGTTTCCATATACTACAATGACCACTCTCATTCTTAACTCATTTTTTTCTCAAAGGGAGGCTGCCTTCTGGGGGAGCTTGGGTTAAAGGCAGGAAGGGGCAATACCTGAAGTCTTCACCATCTAGAAAGCTTGCAAGTTGAACAAATTTGTATGGTTTTCTTACAGAGCAATGATGATGATGATAGCATTTTTGCATAATTCAAGTTTTACTAATTATGGGGAGGGATAAGGAAAAATATGGAGTCCTGAACCCTCTCAGCTGTGGCCAGTGAAATTCTTATTTAAACATCCCTTTAGCTTTTGATACTTCAGTTATTTCCCACATGCTTTCATGCATATTTTTTTGCGGTCATAAGGGCTAGCAACTTTCGCTCTTTAAATAAAAGGCTGAAGCTGGCTTCTGCAGAATCGTGGCAAGCATGCAGCCCTGATTGATGGTTTCTATAATCGCTCCTTTTTATCTGTCTAATAAAGAGAGAGTTGCTTGATGGGAGAACAGATGTCCTAGCACAGAGGACTGAAGCCAATTGCCAATAACCACACTTTTTGTTCTCCCTCCCTCTCTCTCTCTCTCTCTCTCTCTCTCTCTCTCTCAAAGGCAGTGTCACGAAAGCATGTATCATCCTGAGGTCTATAGAAGAGTTAAGGCACAAACCAGGCATGGTAGGTTGCAGCTAAATCTAAACACACTCAGAGTTTTATGCATCCTATTGACACCCCCCCCAATATCATATTCTTCTCCTAGCATGCCATTCCTTAGCATGGGTGGTTAGACTACTACTTCTTCATTTTAACACCTGTCTGTCTCAAGAGACAATGGAGCATTTGTGGGTGGGGAGTCAAACCACTGTGTTAGCAGCACCGAAGTGACCTCCTCAGGGCACAAGCCAGGGCAGTGTTTTTGGAGGTCCTGGGCTGCCCAGATTAAAAGACACCACTCTCCGCCTTGCTGATGTGGTTCAAAGGAAAGCAGAGCAATATGTTTGGCACCATCTTGGCTACAGGAGTTGCTGGAAGGAGGTATACAAGGCACCATCCAACCATTTTAGGGACTCCACGCTGGATTTGTGTAGGGTTTACTTCTTGGCCTTTTCTTCTCCTGAAGACATCCCACAAAGCAGTGGAGGTTTAGGATTAGAGCTTTCGTTCTCCTGGATGGGCTGCCTTCCCAGGTTGACAAGTCCCATCATGGCTGGACTACAAGTTGCTCATTTGCATCTTTATTTTGTATGTGTAAGTTCTGTTTGGACTCTTGATCAATGTGTTTGGTCCACAGGACTTAGCAATAACAGACTTCTTGATCTCTTCTGCCTCCTGTTGCTAGAGGTGTGTAACTCAACAACATGAATCTTTGGCTACTAATCTAGCAGGAATTGTGAACTTGGCCCTGAAGCAAGGTTGTAAATATCCAAAATTTTGCGCCAAGATATCCCATATGTTGTGGTCTTATATAAATAGTTTCCATGACTCGCTTAATTTCTAAGTTGCGTGAATATTTCCGGCTTTTCCTGCTCATCCAATATGGGAATGACAATATTTATATCCTGCTTTCTGCTAAAAGAAGCATACAACACAAAACTATTCAATGCAATTGAGCAAAAGTACAACTAATAGCCAATTTCTAAAAGCAGTAACAAATAGCGACTCATACAGCAAATAATTTAAAATAAAACAAAAACCTAACAGCAGCAAGGATAAAAGATACTTAAACTGATAGTAGTAAATTAGGGTGTTACACATTAAAAGCCTGCCAGAATAAAAGTTCATTCAGTTTTGGGTGAAATAATTTCATTTGGGAGAGTATTTCAGAGCTGCAGCACTACCACCAAAAAGGCCCTGTCTCCTGTTTGCTCACTAAATTTTCTAAGATGGCACTGCAAAACAATGCCTCCAACATGCATCTTAATCAAGGTTCTCCCAGTATGGGAACAAGCAGTACATAGAGTTTTGATATAGCTTACCTTACATGGTGGCTATAAGGAATATTAACAAAATGGAAGTGAAATGCTTGGACGCTTTGAAAAACTGCAGTATAGATGCCATGTGTTGGAGAGAGCAAAGCACATAACAGCAAGGTTGATTCTTATTTAAGAAAACTTGCACTCTTTCTTGTCATATTAAGTCAAGGCTGCTTTATCCCTTGAGTGCTGTCACTTTACTCCACTACTTTTGAAGAAATTTAGTAAAAGAGAAGTAAATATTGCTTCAGTCTGTGTGCGCTTTCATGTGGTGACAGTACTCTACTTAATGAAGTAATAAAGTTACATTTATATTTTTTTAAAAAATGTGGCCCTGTCATACATTCCAGTACTTATTGCTTGCTAAAAATATTTCTGACTTCAATGTTTGTGTTCTAAACTGTTATAGGTATCTGCATTAGTGACAATGTATAGCCATGAAGAAGATATTGATAGTGCTATAGAGGTCTTGGCTCAAGCGATTGAATGGTATCAAGAATTTCAGGCAAGTAATAGTCCGATGAGATGCCAACAGATAAGCTGCCCCGTATTTTGTGTTCAACTTGCTTTACATCTCTGACAAAACAAAATAGTAGAAATTTGTTCAGTACATCATAGCTCTTTATAATGTAAAAGGACATTTATAATCTGAATTTGCCAGCCAATCATATTCATAAGTGGTTTGTTACTGCTACTGTGCTGCAAGAAATAAATAATTCAAGTTTCCCATGAGCCCCAAATCTCCAGTGCAATGGAGAGGCTACCTGTTGCCTCTCTGCATGATTGCCTGTTCTGGCCTTGTCTCCTTCCAGTCATCCTTCACTGGAGCAGTTCTCCAGTTTATCTGTCAGTAGATGTCATTTGGATCATCCAACAACTTCTGGTGCAGTGTCTATGGAATTAACTGGCCTCAAAGAGATGGATGCAAAAATTCAGGAGAAATCCCCTAGTGTGGGGTAGCTGTCACATTTACACATACTTAAGTCAAGATTTGCTAACATGCTGGGTGCACATATACCAGCAGTGGCCTTCCCTGGCACCTGCAGTGCCCACCCCTCCTCTGAAATCAGAATTGAAAGAGGAATTCTGTTGCAGCCATTAGAATAGGTGCATTGTGCATATGGTACCTGTGACAGCTTCTCGGTTTGATAATATGCTCAAGGCTCCAAAAGGTTAGCTCCTGCTCTAAGTGTAGACCTCTTTGTGTGCACAAGGTGAAATGTGCCTTCAGGTTTAATTGAGGGGAAGTGTGCTGTGCCTCAGCTGTTTGGAAGTCTGCAAAAAAATTGTTCTGTAGTCCAGAATTTTCCTGATTTTATCCGTACTTTGAGGGAAGACTCGGTTATGCACTGGAGTAGTTATAATCCCACAGCTGTTGAAAGTCAGTATTCTGAGCTTGATAGTGAGATTGCAGTCTTGCAGCTCGTAACAGACAAATACACCATTGCAGTTGTATCCCAACAAAGTTGTCCTGTTCATGCAAGGACTTTCAATGGCTCAGTGGAACTTCTTGCCCTTCTGCGTGTCCCCATCTGATATGGAGGGTGGAGGAGGAACCCAGAACAGATTTGAGGGTGCACAGGGGGAATTTCTTGTATGAATGATACACCTTTGTTACCTACAACCCCTGCTCTTAAGAGTCCCCTAAACTCTGATGGCTCCAAGTGTGAATCAGCAGGTTAAAAAAGAGAGTGATCACTTATGTCATTGCTTTAGTTGTTTTCAAACTTAACTTTAAGCAAACCTTTTTTCACCCCCAGCCAAAGTCTCCAGTTCATTTGTCGTTAATTAGGGAAGCTGTCAACTTCAAGCTAAAACACGGACGGAAGAAGGAAGCCATCAGCGATCTAGAGGAGTTGTGGAAGTAAGTCCCTTCCTGAGAGCTAATAAGTGAGTTTTACTGCAAAAGACTCAGTGGCCCCACTAACTTGTAGTGTTAAAAATGTATTTATGCAGCAAATGAGATAAGGCATATTAAAAATGGGTTGTGCCCAGTGTTACATGAACAGCATCCCACTCATGCAGTGGGACTTACCTTTCCAGTATACCTGAAGGAGCATCTCCACCCCCATCATTCAGCCTGGACACTGAGGTCCAGTGCCGAGGGCCTTCTGGCGGTTCCCTCACTGCGAGAAGCAAAGTTACAGGGAACTAGGCAGAAGGCCTTCTCGGTAGTGGCTCCCTCCCTGTGGCATGCCCTCCCATCAGTTGTCAAAGGAATAAACAACTATTTGACGTTTAGAAGACATCTGAAGGCAGCTGCTGTACCATCCACAGAGTGAGCAACCTCCTCACTCATTGATTCTCTTTTGGTCCCTTTCCCTTGATAGAGCTCCTCCTGCCACCCATCTCTAAGCTGCAGCTTTACCTGAGCCAGCATGCACCTTGAAAATATTGTTTGTGGCTCCTATGGAAGGTGGAGGCAGGGCACTTCATTTGCCTGCTTATACGAGGTGTCCTCCCTGTGGTTTGCAACACTGGGCTGATTGCTCTCTTTAGAACAGGCTATAACTCTCATACTTCTATACCTTTGTAGGCAAAATCCAGATGATGTCCATACCCTGGCCCAGCTCATTTCTGCATACTCCCTGGTTGATGGTGAGAAAGCTAAAGTGTATCCTTCCTTGTGTGGCTGAGGGAGGTGAGACAAGGAGGCGTTCTTTGACCACTTCCTCATATCAGAGTAATTGCTGCAGTGATGCTTTTCAAAGTTTCCAGCTTTTGGAGTATGATGCCGTGTTCTCTGCCAAAGAAATCCTGTGTCTTCTGGAACCCCCCTGTGCATGTTCTAAGACTTTCACATCTCACTGGCCTTTGAACCTCACTGTTGTCTCATAGGGTGCATACAACACACACATCCAACTAGGAAGTTCAGGTACAGCTGGGTTGGTAGTCTTTTCTTTTAACTCCATGTTTTCATCAAGCAGAAGTACAAAAACACCATTCTACTGTTTTGATCCCCAAATGCCAAGTACCCCTGTTTCTTTTAGAAGCTCAGCCTCTCATGGTCATTCTGCCCACCCAGAAAGTAAAAAAGAAATTTGTTACCCCATTAATCGATAATCGATATCTTTATTGTCATTGTCCCATACAGAACAATGAAATTGAAAAACTACATAAAACATTGAAAAACCCCTATAAACTCTGAAACCCCATTTTAAAATACACTATACTATAGAGACCCCTTATGCTGCGTTTAGAACCAGAATTGCATCTGCGTAGAAACTGTTTCTCAGCGGCTAGTCCTGGCCTTTATAACCCTATACCTTCTTCCAGAAGGCAGAAGCTGAAAGAGATCATTTCTGGGGTGCGTACTATCCTGCGCTATCTCTGCCACTTTCTTATGGCACCTGGCAGCATAGATTTGATCTAGGGTGGGAAGAGTGCACCCAATTATTCTCTCTGCAGTCTTTACAACCCTGGTTAGCATTGTTTTTCCCCTGGCCGTGCAGCTCCCAAACCACACACACAGACCATAAGTTAATACACTCTCCACAGTACAATGGTAGTATATAATGTTCCCTTCCTATACAACAGAGAATTCTTCCCAGTCTCCTGGCTTAGTTTCTCTCTGTCGTTATTGTACCCACTAAACTGCTTTTGAGATCCTGAGAATGATTTTCTCTCTCTTATTTGCTTAATGTGTTTATATTGTTATTCCTTAACCACTCCTTTACAATAGACTTAGCAAACACTTGCCTTCTTCGGACACTATGTCTCTGAAAGTAGATGTGGATGCTCTTGAAAACTCGCATGGGGCTACGTACATTCGGAAAAAAGGAGGGAAACCCGCGGTTGAGAACCAGCAGAAAGAACAAGGGTAAAGAAGCTTTTTAAATAATCCTTGACATCCTGAGTCAGTGTTAATATGAAGAAGTCCAGCTCAGCGACCAAAATAAGTTTTCTGTCTTCCAACTACAAACTTGCCCTATTTCTTTCCCTGTACAAAGCCATTATATACGCTCCCCTTGGCATCCATTAGCTCTGTTCTTTCTGCTGCATCTCAAGCAGGCTCATGTGTGTTCATGTGCTGTGTTTTTCCCCCAGCCAAGGTGACGTCAAGAAGAAGAAGAAGAAAAAGAAGGGTGAGTGTCTTGTTAGCAATGACTGTATAGCTGTTTGGAGTTCAAAAGTGCTTCTGGAGAAGTTGGCTAAAACTATCTAAGCCAGGAGTTGAGAACCTATGACCTTCCAGATGTTGTTGGACTTCGTCTCCCAGAAGGTTCAATCCCCAGTGTCTCCCAAGTAGGTCTGGGAAGGACTTCTTTTGGAGACCTTAAAAGCAGATGCTAGTCAATGTAGGCAGTAATGAACTAGATGGACCAATTGTTCTGAACCACAGGCCCAAAGGAGAACTTGTGGGAGTGAGTGGTTGGGTGCAGGGATACCAAAGAAGGATGTCAATACATACTTTATTTATTAAAGTTAAATATTTATCAATTGTTAGGTATCTCTGCCCATTAGCAGTGCTGCATAGGGCAGATAGGAGTTGGGAGTGCAACAGCATCTGCAGAGCTACATGTTCCTCATCTAAACACCACTGTACTAGGGTGGAATTTTTAAACAACGACTCAAGAAGCTAAGTTCAAATTAAGTTTCAGCCAAAGTTAGGAAATTGCAGTAATTGTGCGACATTAATGGTAGCGTCCTGGACTTCTTGTTTCGAGACAGCATGCTTCTCAATACCAGTTGAAGGGATTAAAAGCAGGGATGGGCTGTTGCCTTCATTTTCTGCACGCAAACTTCCCTAAAGCATTTTGCAGGCCACTGTCAGAGACAAAAATAGATGGATATTTTGGGGACTGATCTAGGAGCGCTTTTCTAACACAAACGTTTTGAGTACTGTAGATTCCGGCGTATTAGATGACCCATCCAAATTGGCAGCTGCAATTTGGGGGTTTGTCTTATAAGCCCAGTCGCCTAATACGCTGGGCAGCTCTGTGCCAGGAGAAAGCCGCCGAAGCGGAGCCCGCCGCTGCTGCTGTTTCGGAGCCTCCGCAGCAGGGGGCAGGTTCTGCTCCGCGCCGCCCATACCTGGCGTATAAGACAACCCCCGACTTTTTAACCTCTTTTCCGGGGTTAAAAAGTCGTCTTATACACCGGAATCTACGGTAGGTCTCCATGCTCTTACGTGAAGTCCGTTCTCCACAGTATTTAAAGTCTAGGTAAAGGTAAAGGTACCCCTCCCCATACGGGCCAGTCTTGACAGACTCTAGGGTTGTGCGCCCATCTCACTTAAGAGGCCGGGGGCCAGCGCTGTCCGCAGACACTTCCAGGTCACGTGGCCAGCGTGACAAAGCTGCATCTGGCAAGCCAGCACAGCACACGGAAACGCCGTTTACCTTCCCGCCAGTAAGCGGTCCCTATTTATCTACTTGCACCCGGGGGTGCTTTCGAACTGCTAGGTTGGCAGGCGCTGGGACCAAGCAATGGGAGCGCACCCCGCCACGGGGATTCGAACCGCCGACCTTTCGATCGGCAAGCCCTAGGCGCTGAGGCTTTTACCCACAGCGCCACCCGCGTCCCCAAAGGTCTATGTATAGCTTGCTAATTGCAACAACCCAATTTTTGTTGTCGTAAGGAAAAGCTGAAACATGTCAGCATAAAGGTATTTGTGGTTTGCGCACAATGAGAGCGTTCTCTGCCTCCGACCATGGAAGTGCTGTACAGCTTTGACTAATAAGGCGTTTACCTGCAGTGCAGCTGTTTTTAAATCATGATGGGTCTCCCATGCTGAATACTCCTTAGTATTCAGGAATATTCTTTTTTTTTAACCTACTCCTTAGGAAAACTGCCAAAGAACTATGACCCTAAAGTTGCTCCTGACCCTGAGCGCTGGCTTCCAATGCGGGAGCGCTCCTACTATCGCGGGCGGAAGAAGGGCAAGAAGAAGGACCAGATTGGGAAAGGAACCCAAGGAGCAACAACAGCAGCAGCTTCTGAATTGTGAGTAACGGGACCCAGCCTTGCGAGCCTTGATTCTAGAGTCCTCTCAGTGTCCCAGGGCAAGGTGATCAGGTAATCAAAGAGAGCTACTCCCCTTGAAAGGAAGTTCACTACAGTGGTACCTCGGGTTACATATGCTTCAGGTTACATGCGCTTCAGGTTACAGACTCTGCTAACCCAGAAATAGTGCTTCAGGTTAAGAACTTTGCTTCAGGATGAGAACAGAAATCGGGCTCCGGCGGCAGCAGGAGGCCCCATTAGCTAAAGTGGTGCTTCAGGTTAAGAACAGTTTCAGGTTAAGTACGGACCTCTGGAACGAATTAAGTACTTAACCCGAGATCCCACTGTATTGGACACAATCTCCAGGAGTAGGTAGAGAATGAGAGTCACAGTAAGGGAGTGGAGAAGGGGACATCCCTGGCCTCTTTCTGCAGTTGCCATTCACAAAAGGCTTAAAGAACTAGCTTTTTGGAACTGGCACTGATACTCAATGTGGGGGGGGGGGTTTAAAATTACTATTTTTAAATTTTGAAGCTCTCAGGGTGGTTCCCAGCATAAAAACACAAGATCAAACCACAAAATTCATAATAAAAACAAGAATAGAACAAAGCAATACAACCCCCCAAAGCACATTTTAAAGGATATAGGATGATAGGCAGCCAAAGGCCTGGTTGAAGAGGAACGTTTTCGCCTGGTGCCTAAATGTGTATACAGTGGTACCTCGGGTTACAGATGCTTCAGGTTACATACGCTTCAGGTTACAGACTCCACTAACCCAGAAATAGTACCTCGGGTTAAGAACTTTGCTTCAGGATGAGAACAGAAATCGTGCGGCAGCGGGGAGGCCCCATTAGCTAAAGTGGTGCTTCAGGTTAAGAACAGTTTCAGGTTAAGAACAGACCTCCGGAACGAATTAAGTACTTAACCCGAGGTACCACTGTAATGAGGGCACCAGATGAACCTCCCTGAGGAGAGCACTCCACAAACAGAGAGGCACTGCTGAAAAGGCCTTTTCTCATGTTGCCACCCTCCAGACCTCATGGAGGAGGCACACAAAGAAGGGCCTCAAATGATTGCTGTACAGTGGTACCTCGGGTTACAAACACTTCGGGTTACAAACTCCGCTAACCCGGAAGTAGTACCTCGGCTTAAGAACTTTACCTCAGGATGAGAACAGAAATTGCGTGCTGGCGGCAGCGGGAGGCCCCATTAGCTAAAGTGGTACCTCAGGTTAAGAACAGTTTCAGGTTAAGAACAGACCTGTGGAACGAATCAAGTTCATAACCCAAGGTACCACTGTATCTGGGTCAGCTCATATGGAGAGAGGCAGTCATTCTATAGGAGGATGAGAGAGTGCAGGAAGATGAACAAGGTTGAGAAAGGCTGCAGACAACTCTATTGCCTTCGTCTCTTCATCTTTCCCAGGCCCACAAGAGTTGTCCGCAGCCTTTCTCAACCTTGGGTCCCCAGATGTTTTTGGCCTACAACTCCCATCATCCCTGACCACTGGTCCTGTGAGCTGGGGATCATGGGAGTTGTAGGCCAAAGGCATCTGGGGACCCAAGGTTGAGAACCACTGGCTCAAGTCATCTGAAGGGCTGGAACTTAGGAACTCATTTGGTGACTGAATATCTCAATCTCTCTTGGCAGTCCTACAGGAATCAGGATTTTACTTGAATGTGTGTGTATGCAGGCATCCTAGAGGGAAAGTATCCAGCTCTTAGAAAAGAGTGACACCCCCCCCCCGCCACATGTTCTCCAAGAATAAAAAAATTATCCCAAAGTGTTATATATGAATGGCATGCTGATGTATATATTGTAGCACCTGCAGTATACAGTCGTACCTTGGAAGTCAAACAGAATCCGTTCAGGAAGTCCGTTTGAATTCCAAAACGTTCGGAAGCTCCTGCAGCCAATTAGAAGTCCTGTCAGACGTTTGGGTTCCAAAGAACGTTTGTAAACCAGAACACTCACTTCTGGGTTTGCAGCATTCGTGGGCCAAAGTGTCTGAGGAGTACCAAGGCATTCAGGATCCAAGGTACAACTGTACTAGCTAGCAGTGGCTCAATTCTGCCCACAGCTTATTGTAAAAAAAAAAGAGGGGGGGAAGCTAGAATTTCTAAGTGGTGTTCTTCTCTTATGTAAAGGAATGAATTCTTCATTGCAAGCAGTAATATATGACATGTACGTGAGGTTTAACCTGTTGGTTTTGTTTTTGCTGCTGACAGGAGGACAGAAGATATACAGTGGTGCCTCGCAAGACGAAATTAATCCGTTCCACGAGTCTCTTCATCTTGCGGTTTTTTTGTCTTGCGAAGCACGGCTATTAACGGCTTAGCGGCTATTAACGGCTTAGCGGCTTTAAGAAAAAGGAAACAAACTCGCAAGAACTCGCAAGACGTTTCGTCTTGCAAAGCAAGCCCATAGGGAAATTTGTCTTGCGGAACGACTCAAAAAACGGAAAACCCTTTCGTCTAGCAAGTTTTTCGTCTTGCGAGGCATTCGTCTTGCGGGGCACCACTGTACCGTACATCTAAGCTCTGTGTGATAATAATCCCATTTGTCTCTTCCTTGTCTACAGGGATGCTAGCAAGACTGCAAGTAGTCCACCTACATCCCCAAGGCCTGGCACCGTAACGGCAGTGCCATCTGCATCAACAAGCAACATGATACCGCCGAGGCATCAAAAGCCTGTTGGCGCAGCTGCCACAAAGAAGAAACAGCAGCAGAAGAAAAAGAAAGGTGGGAAAGGAGGCTGGTGACCATGGAAAGCAGGCTGTTTAAATTGAAATTGCCTGTCTTCCTTTTATTTTCTTTTTTTCCAATTGCGAATGCCAAGAGCAGAATAAAGGTCAAACAAAAAGCAGGGTGGATATGTGTCCTTTTGTTCTCCTTTTGAATTATATATATATATATTTGTTCTCTGTAGTGATATTGGAGATATTATTACTCCTCATAGCAATATCTATGCATGGAGGCATTGTCATCATTTGTTCATTCCAGGCTTTGAGGAAACAGTTTTCTCATCTTGCATGGGTTGTCCTACATGAGACCATCACTGAAGGGTGATCAGAAATTGCAGCTGGTGCAAAACTGTCATCAAGTGGGCACTTTATGGAACCACAACACTAGTCTTACATCAACTACACTTGTTTGTTTCCAAGAACAATTCAGGGTGCTGGTTCTTACCTATAAAGCTCTAAATGCTTTGTGGCCAGAATATCTCTTCCTCCTGTATGAGCAGGCCCCAAAATTATTACCCTCATCAGAGGCCCTGTTGTATGTACCACCATTGGAGAGATGCTAGTTTGGTGGATACCTTGGGTGGGGTCTTTTCTGTAGCATTGTGGAATTCCTCCCCTGGGAGGTCAGCTTGGCCCAGTCTTGCCTATTTTTTAAGGTGGGCTGTAAAAACTTGTTTTGTTTTGCCTGGCTTTTTGATGCATTTATAGTTCTGTGGTTTTGTTTTAATGATAGTCCTCTGCTGCTTTTAATTGGTGTTTTTGATATGTATTGTTTCTACTTGCTCTCTGTTGCCTTGGGAACCCTTGTGGGCAAAAAAGCAATGCATAAATACTTTTAATAAATAATAACAACTAAGATTTTTCTCTTGGAGACCAAGGGTTGTTGTATCCATTAATCTGCAGACAAAGCGAACAGTTTGCTTACTGTCTCAGTGCATAGAAATGTCATGCTCAAGGTCTCCATCTGCAGGATCTGCAAGTAATTTAGACTTTTGCTAGGAGAGAAAAACAGCCTTTGCTTAGCAATGTAGCACATTTCTCTTAGTTTAGCTTTCTGGACTGCTTTAGTGACCCTGATACTTAAATGGTGCAAACATCTCTGGTACCTAATAATCAATATTGGATATGTGGAAGGTACAGTTGAACCGAATTTCACATATGCTCCATTTTATATTTTGACACCCATAATTTTAACTGTTAAATTTTGAGGTTTGGGTTTATAAGCGCCTCCAAACATGTGTGCTAGTAATACTCTTTTTTTATAATTATTTGCATCTTCCCCCACTGTAAGCTATCCAGAAAACTCCAGTTTTAGGATCACATATAAATGTCATAATCTCATTTTCTCAATTGTCAAATAATAAATTCTGCCATATACTACTTCTCATACTGTCAGTGTTAAATTGAGATGGAAACTTGTTGGATGTCACAAGAATATTTGACACCAAAATTCAAAGAACGTGAGGAACAAATCTCTTTTAGCTCCAATCTTTACCATATCCATCTTCGCACAGGAATGATACTTTAAAGAAATATGTCCTAACTCTTTCTCCCTCGGCGTGTATCTTTGCCTTCTGTGAATTTTTTTATCAATTTCTATGCCACCACATTTATGTTCCTTTTCCTGCAAAACTAACAATGAATTTCAATAGGGACAAATGTAAGGTTCTACACTTTGGCAGAAAAAGCCAGCTGCACAAATATAAGATGGGGTTTACCTGGATTGCCATTAGTATATGTGAAAACGACCTCAGGATCCTAGTAGGCCACCGTAGTGTGATACAGCAGCAAAACAAGCTAATGCTATCCTTAGCTGCATCAACAGGAGTATAGCTGAGACCCTAATTGCCTGCGGACTGCCTTGCCAGAGTGGTGCATGCTCTGGTTATCTCCCACTTGGACTACTGCAATGCGGTCTACGTGAGGCTACCTTTGAAGGTGACCCGGAAACTACAACTAATCCAGAATGCGGCAGCTAGACTGGTGACTGGGAGCGGCCACCAAGACCATATAACACCAGTCTTGAAAGACCTACATTGGCTCCCAATACGTTTCCGAGCACAATTCAAAGTGTTGGTGCTGACCTTTAAAGCCCTAAACGGCCTTGGTCCAGTATATCTGAAGGAGCGTCTCCACCCTCATCGTTCAGCCCGGACACTGAGGTCCAGGGCCGAGGGCCTTCTGGCGGTTCCCTCGCTGCGAGAAGCCAAGTTACAGGGAACCAGGCAGAGGGCCTTCTCGGTAGTGGCACCCGCCCTGTGGAACGCCCTCCCACCAGATGTCAAAGAGAAGAACAACTACCAGACTCCGGCCCTGTTTAGGGAGGCTTTTAATGTTTGATGTAGTACAGTATTTTTGGAAGCCGTCCAGAGTGGCTGGGGTATAAATAATAAATTAGTAGTAGTAGTAGTAGTATGTCCTGCTCAATGAAAGTAATCGTCCTGCTCTTATTCTACATTGGTCTGACAACTCTTGGGGTACTGTGTCCAGTTCTGGGTGCCACAATTTCAGAAGGATATTGACAGGCTGGAATGTGTGCAGAGGAGGGTGACCAAGATGATCAAGGGTCTGGAAATCAAGCCTTTTGATGGAGTTTGGCATGTTTAGCCTGGAAAGGGGTCACATGGAAGATGGAGCAAGTCTGTTTTCTCCTACTCTGGAGGGTAGGACCTGAACCAGTGGAGTCAAGTTACAAGAGTCCAGGTGAACATAAAGAAGAACTTTTCCCAATATGTTATTCAAATTGGCACCCTTGTATGCCACCCTTGGATTCCATGATAGGTGCAAGAATTTTAGCTGGATAGCTCACTTGGCTAGCCAATAACACCAAGGTTGCACGTTTGATCTCCGTAAGGGGACAGCTGCATATTCCTGCATTGCAGGGCGTTGGGCTACATCAGGGTTTCCCAAATTAGGGTCTCCCACTGTTTTTTGGACAACTAATCCCATCATCCCTGACCACTGATCCTGCTAGCTAGATATGATGGGAGTTGTAGTCCCTAAATAGCTGGAGACCTAAGTTTGGGAAACGCTGGCGTAGAGCATCAGGGTCCCTTCCAACGCTATGATTCTGTGACATCGGGTTCCGCTGCCCCTGTAGATCCTGCCACCAGAGGCAGTCACCTCACCTTGCCTCATGGGTGGGCTGGCCCATATTAACTTGGAAGGAAGTGAGCCTTCCCTCTGGCGCAGGGGTGCCCACTTGAATAAAATATTTTTGGGGGGGAGATAAGCTCCGCCCCATGGGGATGCAGGTGACGCTGTGGGTAAAACCTCAGCGCCTAGGACTTGCCGATCGCATGGTCGGTGGTTCGAATCCCTGCGTCTGGGTGCGCTCCCATTGCTCGGTCCCAGCGCCTGCCAACCTAGCAGTTCAAAAGCACCCCCGGATGCAAGTAGATAAATAGGGACCGCTTACTAGCGGGAAGGTAAACGGCGTTTCTGTGTGCGGCTCTGGCTCGCCAGAGCAGCGATGTCACGCTGGCCACGTGACCCGGAAGTGTCTGCGGACAGCGCTGCCTCCCGGCCTCTAGAGTGAGATGAGCGCACAACCCTAGAGTCTGTCAAGACTGGCCCGTATGGGCAGGGGTACCTTTACTTAAGCTCCACCCCACACAACTGATCACATGACATGGCACACACACACTATTTGAATGGCATTGCCCATCAACTTTGGAGAGGGAGGCACCCTCAAATATTTTATTGGATGGGGGGGGGCAATGGGTCCTCGGCATCTAGGAGTCGGCTGTTATGCTCTTGACGGACTAAACTAGGCACCAACTGCTATAAAATATTTGAGGAGTGCAGCTCCCCACCCCTCAATATTGAGGGAGATTCCCATTCAAATGGGGTGGGGGGTGACATGCAATAGGTTATGCAGAGCGGGGCTTAAATACCACCCCCCCGGGCCAATTTAGGTCTGATGAGGCCCTAAGCTCCTGAAGGTAATGGGGCCCTTTGGGTCCAGCTGTCCTTTGTCAACAACAAATTGCCACTGTTTTTTTGTGTTGAATATGGTCCATGGGGTCAGGAAGAGTCAGACAAGACTAAACGCCTAAACAGCAAATGGTAATTTATGGACCTAATAAGTATCTCAAGCCATTTGCACATAACAAATAAGAGCCTACACAACACAAAACACTTGCTGTATGTAGGTTTTATTTTGTTTTTTTTAATCTTATATTTTGGAAATGTACATCCAGTTTTTTCTCCTTTAATTTTCTTGGGGGCCTCCAAGAGAGTGGGGCCCTAAGCTATAGCTCATTTACCTCATACGTAAATCTCCCCTGCCCCCCCCCCCGCCACTGTGGTGAGAGGGGAGCAATGCCGGGCGGGGCGGGAAGAGAGAGGGACTCCGACTCGGGACGGAGCAGGGGGGAAAGGCCGGCCTAGCCGCCTCTGAGGGAGCGCGAGGACGCGCGCGGCGGGTGCGCGCCCTCCGCCGGCCGGCGCCCCTTCGCTCCCTTCCTTGGCCTGGTCGACGATGCCTCCCGCCTCACGGCAGGGGCGGCGCCCTGAGCCGCCTCTTTCCTCCTCCTCCTCCTCCCCCTGCTGCTGACTATGGCGGGCAGCCTAAGGCAGGTCGCTCTGGTAGGGACGGCGGTTGCTGTCGCCGGCGGGGTCGCCTACGCGGTGTGGAGGAGCTATTTCCCCTCAGAAGCTGCTCAGGGGCCCGAGGAGCAGCAGCAGCAGCCCTTACTCAGCTCTCAAGAAGGGGCCGCCCTGGGCTGCGCAAGGGCCCCCGAGAGCCAGGTAAGCATATATATATATATAGCTAACCCGCTGCGTTTCCCCGATATATCTCGGAATTTTTTTTTAGGCCCGGTTCTCACGTGCAGCTAGCACGGAAGTTAGAACGCGTGTCTGGCCCTGCCTGCGCGCGTTTCAGGCTCGCCTGGGCGAAATAAATCCCAGCGCGCAGAAAGGGAAAAGGCAGCATTACTCTATATAGACTTCTGCTTAGGTTTCTGTCCTGTGAGACTCTCCATCCTACATTTCGGAAGAGACGCAAGCCAGAGGCGGGTGGGTCGCCTCCCGTGTGCGAGAATTACATTTGCCATCGTTGCACGAAATGCAGGCTAGACACTTGGGAGGTTTCACGCAAACCCACGAATTTCCTTTCATGGTTGTCGCTCCCCGTCCCCACCGTAAAACTGCTGTTTTTGGGGCGGGGAAGAGCAGTGTCAGGTCATAGTTTGGGAAGATCTGCTGCTGCTGCTGCTGCTGCTAATATTGTACTTTGGAGGGTTTAATTCCGCCACATTGCCTGCTTCACCTAGCTGGGAAAGAGGAAATGCTAGGCAGCATGCCTGTTTTTGGAAGGAGGAGTGGCAAAAGTTGCAGGAACTGAAGATCGTTTTATCTGTTGAAGTTGAATGCACACTTCCACCTTTGAAATCCCGGTAATGTCCAGGATTTTCCCAGACGTATGGCAGCCCTCATTTTACTGCTGTTCCGATGTGTTTTATTGTTAGATAGTTCGTTTTCCTATTGTTTTAATAGTGGATGCTCCTCTGAGGGCTTCAGCTGGAGCAGGGGCTATTGGATGCTTGAAATACATATATAAGCTAGCCTTAAGACAGCTAGTTAGCACTACGTGGTAAGTGGCCACCTACACATTAACATGCTTTCAGAATGTTTTATGAAATCAGGCTCACAAGATGGCACCTGCCAGCCAGTTTGTCTTTGCCCCACATTAGAATGGAGTGCTGATTACATGCACTAACAAACAATTCAACCTAGTGTCACAAACCTTCTTTAATTCAGTGAGATATACTTCTGAATGAATGTGAATCTGATCCAGCTACATTTATAACCCACTTTTTCTCCAAGTAGCTTAAATTTTGCATCGTTCTG